CAAAGCCTCCTGTGCATCACTACTCAGATGACCTCAGATTTTCTTCCACCGAGATTCCTTCTGTACCTCCCAGGAGCTCGCACAGCCCTGCTAAGCCAGCAGAGGTTGTCCCAGGCACACGTAGCTGGCACCATCGATGACCATGGATTTTGCCTTGATTTTCTCTGATTTTCTCTCTCCAGAGCTGGGAGATCTGGCTGCCAATCCTTCACAGCAAGGAATCCGAGCTGAAAGCTGTCTTTAGGGGTTTCCTCCACAAATCTACCTGGCACCCCCTGCATTTACTCCTGCGAGCAGCAGGCACGCAGCAGAGGGAGGAAGTCACCGCGCCTCAGCTGCCTGGCAGGCGGCCACCCTCCTGCCCGTCCCCAGCAGCACAAGGCAGAGCCAGCAGATAAAGCTTATTCAAGGATAAACTCCAGCAAAAGCGCAAACATCGCCGCCAAGTGACTCACTGCCCCGCCACCTCCTCCATCCCCAGGGCCTGCACTTTGTCAGGTAACTACCGAGGGGTAAAGGTCTCCTTCCTCCTGTCCCTGAGGCTGGTGCAGGCAAGAGGAAGACTCAAAACGATACGGGGCTGCCCTAATAAAGCAAACAGCACAGCAACCGGGACTATTGCATCATTTGCTAAGGTTGTCTGGAGTTCACTGTGGGTCTCAGCCCTTTTTCCCCCCCCCCTTTTTCTACGAGGTTTGTCTTCTAGCTAAACTTCAGCAGCTGATAAGAGACTGAAGACTCGGCTTATAGATTCACAAAAACCTGAAGATTTTGTGTAGAAAATGCACAGGAAGCCTGACGTAGTGCAGGGGAGTGATGCTATCAAAGCAGTTAGCATCAGCTACCTCCACCGCTATCAGCTCCTGCTCTTTGCTCCAGAAGGACATCGTTACTCGGCGCTGCCGCCCCGCCAGGAGCGTGCCCCCACGCTGGGAGCGGAGTCGTTTCCTTATAAAGGAACCGAGCGCTGCTGGCAACTCGGTTCAGATTCCAAAAATGTTGGGAGCATTCGGCCTGGAAACTCAAAATTCACGGTTAGGCTGCTGCTGGGACTGAGCAGAGCCCGGAGAGACTCGGTTAAGGACTGGATTTTTTTTTTTTTGTTTTGTACTTTCCAAAGCAGAAGGTTGTTAGGAGCTGGTGCTGCTCCTTCCCCCAGCTGCTGTGCAGCCTCTGGAGCCATCCACAGGCTGATGCTGGCAGTTCTGACATTGCCAGGGCCAAACCAGGTATCTTCAGCCTGAGGAAACCTCACAGCTGTGTCCCAGTATGGCTTGACATGAACCCCCAAGCCCCCAGTGCAGCTCACTGCTTCCTAAAAGGAGGTAAAAGCCTGGAACAAAGGGCCTCCCCCTTCAGCACGGGGCTCGTACCACGATGGGAGTGCTGTAAACATACTGAAAAAGGGAATAAAAACAAAACCCTGCACAGCTTTTGTTGTGATTTTAATTGCAATTGTGTCGTAACTGCGCAGGGCAGCAGGGGGAGGTCTGGGAAGGCTGCTGCAGCATGGAGGAAGGAAGGCCGGGCTCCCAACTCCACGTTCTCAGCTGGCGTTTTAACCCTGCCCCTGCTGGCCCGTCCTGAAGAACAGCTGGCAGGGAGCCTCCGCCCGCCAGCAGCGAGCGAATAAAGCGCCTGTTTGTTAGCCTGGATTCCCTCCCTGGCCCAGTACCACGCTGCTCGAGGCCTCAATGCAGCACATTCTTTGTGTGTGTGTGTGTGTGTGTGTAGCAGTGGCTGGAATACTGCTGAGCTCAGAGAGAGGGCTTGGCCCTGCTCTTTTTTCTTGTAGAAGCCCTCGACACGGGCAAAAATCCCTTAAAACCGTGCTCAGGGGGCAGCGGGGGAGAACAGCAGGGCTGAACAGCCAGGCTGCTCCTGCCCAGGGCCGCCCAACCTCGCCGAAACGAGGAGGCACGGCCCCAAACCATCAGCCTGGAGAGATGACGACACCACAGCACAGCCAGGGCGACCTGCGAGGCCGAACGTGCGAGTTTTATACTCGTTTTTAGGTGCTGCGCTGATACCCACGAGCCCCCGGCAGCGATGCCCGCGCACGGTTATCTACAGGAGCATTTCGGGAACCAGCCCCAGGCTTGGTTTGTTTGGGCACCACGTGCACGCCCTGCACATAGCGGCACGGACTGTCCACAGCCTCTCAAGCGGAAAGCTGTGCTTCGCAGAGGAGCACCATCAGTTTTTCCACCACCGAGGTGTGCCCGCCTCGGCTGCGGAGATGTGAGAGCAGCACAGGCTTCCCCACCCGCCGCTCACCTCGCTGCCAGCTGTCTGCTTCCCAATTCCCTGAGCAAACCCCTCCCTGGGCCCGGCGCAGCGCCCCACCCCTCCTATCTCCCTTGCAGACCCCTCCCTGCTGCCAGAACAGCCCGGGGGAGCAGGCGGCGCTTCCACCTGACTCAGTCCCGTGTCACGACCAACGCTGCTTTCAATTAAAGCTGCTGGCACCTGGCCGCTCGGGGACAGTGGCCTTCCCGAAGCCGCCCCCTGAGCACCTGGAGCAGCCCGAAGCTTCAATTCTGACCCGAAGCACAACAGGAAATGTAACTGCCTTTTTTTTTTTTACTGCTCTTGTGTAAGAGGCCATTATTTACACACCATAAAGCAGCAAGAAGTACGGGGTTATTTGCATATCACTTGCAGGCAGGCCTTGCCAGCTGGACTCGAGTTTCTTTTATTTTGCTTTCTTGGGTCTCTTTTTTTGCAGGGAAGGGAATCAAAACCCTATTCAGCGATTTCTTTTCCTGCCAATAGGGGGTTACCCACTGGACCAGGAGAGATGAGGCGAGCAATCACCGAGAGGCAGAACAAAAAAATAAATCCCTGCTGAATTCCTGGAGGTTATTTCCTCTGGCTGAAAGCTGAGGAAAGCATCCCCTGCACTCAGCTCCCGGTGACCGCCTGGGTAGGCAGAACAAGCACTGCCGGCGGAGAGAGGCAATCCCAGCAGCACTGCTGAAAAACAGGAAGTGTGGCAGCCAGGGGGAGGGCAGAAATTTTGAGCAGCGCCCGTTCCTCTCTGAAACACACATTTGTGAGGTAATGCGGGTATAAGCCGGCACTCGGCGGGGCTCCTGCCGGAAAGCAAAGCTTCTTAGAGCACAGAAATCAGCCAGTGTGAGCCTAACTGTCCGCAGGAATTTCCTCGTGGTCCTCTGCACTCCTATATTAACCTCAAGATCACCCTTAAAAACAGCTTCTGAAGGCCTCTCTAGGCACCCCAGACAATGGTTATCAAGATATCCTTGAGACTGCCGCCAGCAGCGAGCAGTCAGGTGAGCGGAAGGCTCCAAACAGCTTCAGATGCAAGTTCTGGCTGTCCGCAGGCTCTGAGATTGCTGAGCTCAGCCCTCGCTCCCCAGCGGAGCCTCCTGGTAGCGATATCCCGGCGCTGCGAGCAGGAACACGCCACACACCCACACCACCCATTGTCAGGAGGCTGTCAGCTCGCATACGAGGCACACGTACCTTGTAATCACACTGACTGGGGGCTAACAACGAGGAAAAAATGATTTGCACAGTCCCCCAAAGACCGTGGAATCATTTAATCCAGTAGCAAGGAAACCGAACCTTGTGGCAAGACAGCTAAAAGTAGCAAATCCCATGTTGTTTGGATGTAAAGCGATGCCCTGCTGCTTGGCGCTATGGTACGCTGCCAAAAGGCCTACAATGCTGCCCAAAAGCAGGATCGTTTGCTGCAACTAGAAAGCATCTAAAAATGTAACTAAAAAAAAGCCCAAAAAAAAAAAACCCACACCCTGTTCCAAAAAGGAGATCACTATGAGAAATACGAGTTCTGGCCGACTTGGGAATTGCCTGCTTCTGAAGCAAGATGCAGCCTGACGCGCCGAGGAGTCATTTCAAACTAGGTTTGCGTACTGCAGAGGTGGTAGCTAGCTTGTTCAGACAAGCCTATTTTAAACAAGAGCTGCAAGTCTCGCCAGACTTTTCGGCAGCTTCATCTGCAACTCCCATTAGCTCTGCTCCACGCCGCGGCCCGGGGATGCTCCGGCTGCGGGGTGTAGGAAGCAGGGAGACGGCCAGCACATCCTGTGCGCCGGGGCTGTGCGGGAAGGGGGTGCATTGAGGGTGAAGGCTGCGGGTGGGCTGCGATGCCCTTCAGAGCTGGCGGTGAGCAACCTAACGGGGGGTGCTCAGAGATCCGGATGCCTGGCGCTGGGAAGGCGTTTGTGCGCGAAAATAGGGAGATAATAACGCGCTAATTCCTGAATTCATCAATCTCAGCCGTGTGGCTTACACAGAGGAGGCGTGGGGGGGCCAAATTTCGCCTCTACCCCCCCCAATCCACTGGGGCACAGCGGCTGGGCGGCGTTGTTCTCCCCTTGGGGGCCGAGGCAGGGCTCGCCCCCCCCCCCCCCCCCCTCCTCCTCCTCCTCCTCCTCCTCCTCCTCCTCCTCCCCCCCCCAGAGGCCTTGAGCCCCCCCCCCCCCCATCCCCGAGGAAGATGGCTCCCGCCGCGCGGCCGGATGCGGCCGGGGGCAGCCGCAGCTTCCTGCCGGCCCCCCCCCCCCTTCCCCGACCTACAAAAAAGCCCCATAATGGGGAAGGGGGGGGGTGAGGGGGGGATGGGGGGGGTGCGGCCGCGCCCTGCGGCACAGGCGGGGAGCGCTGGGAGGGGCCCCGCGGCTCCGTCCCCCCCCGCGCCGCGCAATGGACGCGCTCAGCCCCCCGCGCGCGCACGCGGCGCGGGCCGTACCATCGCGCCTCGTGGGGGGGGCGCACTGTGAGGGGTGAGGGGGGGATGGAACGTACCACCGCCAAGCTAAAGGGGGGGGGGAAGGTTCCATGAGGGGGGGGATAAAGGGGGGGGGGGGGTTCGCCGCCTCCCTCACAGCGCTGAGCGCCCCCAGGGAGCGGAGGGCGGCGGGGAGCGGGGGGGGGGAGGCGAGGAGGAGGTGAAGGGGGAGCCCGGCGGGGGCCTCACCATGGCGGCGGCGGCGGGCGGCGGAGCGCGGTGCGGCGGCGGCTGCTCCCCTCGGCGGCTGGGCGCGGCGCGGGCTCCGGCGGCAGGAAGGGAAGCGGCGAGGGCGCGAGCCGGGCGGAAACGCTGCGACGTCACGGCCGCCGGGGCCCGGAGGAGGAAGCGGTTGCTATGGGTGGGTGAGCCTCACCCCCCCCCCCCCCACCCACCGTGGCAACGCCCAGATGGCTTCACTCGAGGCAGAGCGCATGCGCGCCCGATGAGGGGTGGGAGGAATGGGGAGCGGGATGTCCAATGAGAGGAGGAGGAGGCGGGTGATGGATGGGTGGCTGGCCAATGGTGGCGCGAGGAGGGGGGAGAGGGGCGGGGCTACCTGCCCTAAGGTGTGTGTGGTGGGGGGGGGCGTGAGGGAATGGGCGGGAGGGGAGGGTAAAAGGGGGGGGGGGTGAGGGGGCAAAAGGGGGACAAAAAGGGGCATAAAGGGGACTTAGGGGGGTAAAAAAGGGATTTTATGAGGTAAAAAGGGGATTTTAGGGGGTAAAAAAGGGATTTAGGGGGGTAAAAGGGGGCTGTGAGGGGCAGGGAGCGACCGTGAGGCGGCCGGGCGGGGGCGGGGGCTGAGGGCTGAGGGCTGAGGAGGCGGTGAGGGGGAGGTGAGGGGGAGGTGGCTTCCCTCGCTTTTTTTTTTTTTTCTCTCTAACATTTTTTTTTTTTTTTCAGGGTTTTTCACTACCTACTTTGGTGCGATCTCAGCCAGCCACTCGTGATTGGCTGGCGCCGGCCGCGGCGAGCTGAGGAAACCCTGTGCAACGAGCCCGGCCCAGACAAAGCGCCCGCCGCTGCTGCTGCTGGGGAGCCCGCCCCGAAATGCTGAAAAAAAAAACACACTAAAAAACACAATAAAAATAATACAAATATCATCGTTTCCTTAACGTTTCTGGGCGACGCGCGGCGGGGGTTCTGTGATCAGGCTGTTAGCTGGTTGCAGAAGCACCTAATGCGAAAAAGCAGCGGTTGTTTGGCTTCGTTTCTGGGTGCTGCCAGGAATCGATGAGCGCAGAACCCCCAGCAGCACGCCTGGTTGTTGGGCCTCTCTCTCTCTCTGTGCCTGCTTCTCAGCAGAAAACAAAGCAGGACTTGTGTGGCTGCTTTCAGGGCCGGGGTGTGAGGCAGCGATATTTCTGGCTTACATCTGACATAAAGCCTCAACAACAAAGGTGTAAGCTGTACCTTACAGTTTTTATCCATATTCCTCTGTTCTAGCTACACACACGCATATATATTTTTAACCTCCCTGCTGCATACCCCCCTCATTTCCCTTTTTAGGTGCTGTTGTGCCCGCTCACTTGAGATACGGGTTGCTGAAAGATCACATATTGAAAATGCATGTGTTGAAAATGCAGTCCTGTGCCGGCAGGCTCTATTGTTGGGTGCCTTACGCTGGCAAGGGGTCTCTTTTGCAAGAGTGTTTCCATCGGATTTGTGGTGAAATGAAGATGTACTGGTTAGTTTTTTGCTAGACTGAAATGGGAGTGGGTGGGTTGTTCCTCCCTGTGCGCCTTTCTGATGTATTTAATCAAGGAATGTTTAAATTGGGAGCAAAGTCTTTGTCTTTGAAAGTAAAAAGAATTGAGTGGGAACATTTTTATTTTTTTTTTTAAATGTATAGTTCTAAAACAAGTCAGGTAAAATGCCTCTGAAACAGAGCACCAGACCTACAAGTACATTTCTCTAGACAACCCTTTCAGGTCCTGAATTTTGACACTAGCTGTTGGCATGGTGAGGGTGAAAGCTACAGCTCATCGGTATTGGGAGGGAAAATTGAGGCACATACTGACTGCTGGAGCCTCTGCACGGTGTTGTAGCAGACTTCCATCTCCACCATCTCCAGTGGAATGAGATTGGGACCTGGGGCAGCTGTGCTTTTCGGTGTTCCTTCATGTGGGCGATTTGTCTGCCATTGTTCTGAGCTTGCTCTCGATAATTCGGTTTCACTATGAGAGAGCGGGGTGCAGAAGTCAGATGTCCTGGGGAGGAGGGGAAGGGATGATGTAAGGCTATGAGAACAGGGCCGGGGCTGTTTCAATGCTGTATACTTATAAGGGAAAATGAATTGAAACCGGCCCCTTGGCTCAGGCTGTTTCAAGAGGGTTTTGTTGTGTTTTTGGAAACGTTGCAACGGGTTGAGAAGGTACCTGACAAGTTAAAGGCGCCTCAGCGAGGAAGCGCTTCTGCAAGGACTCTCACTTGTTTCCATCTCCTGTGACAGATGCACTCCCTCTGCGAAGGGCAGGTCACAGAGAGCCACGATGCCTTTTTTAAAGGCTTTGTGCCCAAAAAGACGAAACGGTGCAGCCTGGTGGGGTGTAAACCCAGCGGGTGCAGTGCTCTGAGGAGGCTGGATGCGCACAACCTGGCTCTGCAGACAGCACAGGCACTGCTGAGCAACACAGCTCGGGTTTGTCACAGCTTGGGAACCCCTGCTCCACAGAAACCTTCCGTGAAGGGGAACGGGAGTCTGCTTTTCCAGCCCGGCAGCCGAGCAGCCCGTTCCCTGCAGCCCCACCAACGTGAGCATCGCCTGGGATGCTCGCAGCGCTGCGGCTTTCCTCACAGAGGCCTCGCAGCAGGGCCCTGTGAGGCTGCTCTGTAGCTGCCTGCTCGCTGCCTGAGCCCAGGGGAAGCTCCTGCGTTTGGGGAAGGAATTCTGGGGCTTCTTTTTACTGATTCCCTCATCGCTGGGCCTGTCCTTTGATGGGACAGATACCCGGGGTGGAGGTGAGGAAGCTGTGCCCTTCACCCGCCTGGGTGGGCCAGGTTCCCAGGCCTTCCCCTTCAGCCCCAGGACGTAAATGCAGAGCAAAATTATTAAGGAGAAAGAAATTAACACGATCAGTTGCTACAACTGTGCTGTGGAAATGGAGTCGCTTTTGTTTTTTTTTTTTTTTTCATGTGCTTCTTTCCAGCACTGAATAAGCTCTGTCCTTTTCTCCTGGTATTAGTGCTATGAGTAAGCGAGGTGGAAAGCTCCAGCTGGATGTTCAGACGCACCACCTCAAAATGTGACCCGCCCCCCCCCCTCCGAATTCCCCTCCCTCTCTCAAGGCAAGCTGCCTTTGCAATTAACCTGAAACCTCCCTCCAGAAAAATCTGTCCCCCAGCCACACAAGTAAGCCTGAGAAGCCTCAGCAGCACTGCTGCTGCTCATGGCTGCTTTCTGCCTTGGCTGCAGTCTGAAACGCTGGATGAACTGCAGCCAGCAAGCTTCTGTTGGCTGAAGGGCCACTTCAAAACCCAGCATGGTCAATAGAAAAAATTTATCTGCAGATTCCTGTTTGGGGATGAGCCCCTGCATCTACAGACATCGGAGATCAATACTACCTCCACCTCGCTGTGTTTCTAGCAGTTGAGATGGTGACTACTTGCTTACTTTATATGCCTCAGCTATGTGAACTCCCCCTCCTGTCCTCCAAGCTACTGACTCATTTCCTCCTCTAAAACCTTCCTTTTTTAGCCTTTCGCTCTCAAGTATTTGGTAGCTGTTTTGAGCCGCCTGTTCCATGCCTTACTTAGGCAAACTCCTACATGACAGCCCTGCAAGCCTTGCTTTTGTACCATAGAAATCAATTTATTTTTTTCCCCAATACTTTCAGTTCTGAGGGGCAGTTTTGGCTACTGACTGTGCTCTTAGGCAAATTGCTGCTTTGCTGCTGCAACTCAGGGAGGCAGACAATTGGCAAAGCAGCTGGTGAGCTGAGGCTGCTGCTGCTTATGCTAATTGCTGTTGTCTCCCTTTTAGCCCCACGTTTCCCCCATCTGTCTAGACCCACCTGCTGCCTTTTCATACCCTTTTGCCCCACTCTCCCTGTTCACTGCTTTTCAAGCAGGGATTGCAGAGATTCCTCTTCATTTGGACAAGCCCCCACAACCGTGGAGCCCCTGGGTGGCAGGATCAGGCCCCGACTTTGTGTGCTCTCATGCAGCAAAGAAACAAGTGGTCCCCTTGTGTACAGTGTGGCGGGGGCTCTGAGCCATGGTCATGGCTGATGGATGCTGCTGTAACCTAACTTGCTCTGTGTGCCTGAAATCCAGTAGTCCATATTTCTCGGGGTTTATGGAATATTGGCTCTGTGCTCTTGGCGTCGCAAGGCTCAGCAAAGATAATTTTAGACAGGAACAGAAAGTCTCTGTAAACCTTGCAGTCATTGCTATTTCACTGGCAGAAACAAAGCAATGAGAAATCCATTGCTGTGCACTGCTGAAACGTTCAGCTTAGGAGATATGCTGGCATCAAAATTTACAGGGAAATTTCAGGGGAGGAGGTGAGCCTAAAGATGCTCCATCCCTTTTCTGAAGATATGATGCAGCACAGCAGGCAGCGCACAGGAGCCAAGAGCCTGGAGTCTGGCCCAAAGCCCTGCCCTGGCCTCTGGGGTGAGGTTGGGCCAGCTGTTTTACCTCTTTGCCTTAGTTTCTCATTTGTGAAGTGTTAACCTTGTTACTGTACTGCGATTTGAGATTTTTTAGTGGATATCGAAGCTGGATGCTGCTTATAAATACATGCTATTTTTGCAGTAATGAAAAGGCTGTCCCAAGTTGCTAAAGATTGAATGTCAGAAATTTATTATTTTAATTTGCTCTCAGCTTCCACAGTTGCTGCAGGTTGCAGTCCTCTTAATTCCCATATGGTAAAAACTCTGCAGCCTGTGAACAACGGGAGCAGAATCTGACCTTGCTTACTGCTATAAATCCCAGGTAGTTTTACCAACCTCATCAGAACCATTCTGGATCAAGCATGATGGGGGAGGTATCCAGGTGCTTCATTACCACCTGGTGGCATTTTCATCACTAGAAAGATGAAGGAGGGAATAAAACAAAAAGGCAGCTCAGGAATGGAACAGCCCCGTGTTAATTTAAAAATGCAAGAATGTCGTCAGGCTACTCTCACAGAATGAATCATAGAATGGCTTGGGTTGGAAGGGACCTTAAAGATCATCAAACTCCACCCCCCCGACATTGACAGGGATGCCACCCGCTAGATCAGGTTGGCCAAAGCCCCATCCAACCTGGTCTTGAACACCTCCAGGGATGGGGCATCCACAGCTGCTCTTGGCAACCTGTGCCAGGGCCTCACCACCCTCTGAATGAAGAATTTCCTCCTAATTTCTAATTAAATCTATCCTCTTTTAGTTTAAGACCATTCTCCCTTGTCCTATCATTATCTAACCAGGTAGAGTCCTTACGACCCCCTTAAGTATTGAAAGGCAGCAATGAGGTCTCCCCAGAGCCTTCTCTTCTCCAGGCTAAACATCCCCAGCTCTCTCCGCCTTTCTTCATAGGAGAGCTGTTCCAGCTCTCTGATCATCTTTGTGGCCTTCCTCTGAACTCGCTCTGACAGACCCAAATCCTTCTTGTGCTAGGGGCCCCAAACCTGGATGCAGCACTCCAGGTGGGGCCTCATGAGGGCAGAGCAGTGGAGGACAATCACCTCTCTCAGCCTGCTGGTCACACCTCTGGTGATGCAGCCCAGCACACAGTTGGCCTTCTGGGCTGCAATTACACACTGCTGACTCATGTCGAGCTTTTTGTCCACCCGAACCCCCAAGTCTCTCTCTGCAGGGCTGCTCTCGGTGATTTCTTCTCCCAGTCTGTACTCCTGTCTGGGATTGCCCCAAACTCAGGTGCAGCACTCTGCACTTGGACTTGTTGAACCTCATTCGGTTCACATGGGCCCACTTCTCCAGCCTGTCCAGGTCCCTTTGGATGGTATCTCTTCCTTCTGTTGTATCAATGGCACCACTCAGCTTGGTGTCATCTCCTAACTGGCTTGTATTTTATTTTATTTTATTTTATTTTATTTTATTTTATTTTATTTTATTTTATTTTATTTTATTTTATTTTATTTTATTTTATTTTA